TTCTATCGACTAGAGGCTATTCACCTTGGAGACCTGCTGCGGAAATGGGTACGGTCCGGTGCGAGATTCAAATAGCTTCCCTCGGCTTTTCAAGGACCCAGCCAAGCGCACGGGACACCACAGAAACCGTGGCGCTTTACGGCAGCAACGTCCCTATCTTCGGCTGAACCGTTTCCAGGGAGTCCGCGCCTTAACCAGAGAAGAGAACTCTGGCCCGGGCTTAACTAGGCGTCGCCGAGTTCATTTGCGTTACCGCGCTATGCCGTCCGAGGACGGCAAATCTCCGCATCCGGGTACGGGAATATTAACCCGTTTCCCTTTCGGTTGCCGCGAGAGAGCCGCGAAGGCTACTCCACTCTCAGTGGTACAAGGCGTTCGCCGGTACCTTAGGATCGACTGACCCACATTCAACTGCTGTTCACGTGGAACCCTTCTCCACTTCAGTCTTCAAGGATCTCGCTTGAATATTTGCTACTACCACCAAGATCTGCACTGACGGAAGCTCCAGCTGGACCCACGTCCAAAGCCTTCAACGCAAACCGCCCGACCCTCTTTACTCGTTGCGACCAGTCGCACCCGCTGGGGGGCTCAAGTCGGGCAACGGTCGGGTATAAGTGGTCCGCTCAAGCGCCATCCATTTTCAGGGCTAGTTGATTCGGCAGGTGAGTTGTTACACACTCCTTAGCGGGTACCGACTTCCATGGCCACCGTCCTGCTGTCTATATCAACTAACGCCTTTCATGGGGTCTCATGAGCGGACACTTTGGCACTTTAGCCCGACGTTTGGTTCATCCCACAGCGCCAGTTCTGCTTACCAAAAATGGCCCACTAGGAGCTCTCATTCAGGGTGCTGGTTCAGAGTGAAGAAACCAGCACATCATACCCATTGAAAGTTTGAGAATAGGTCGAGAACATTTCGTCCCCAATTCCTCTAATCATTCGCTTTACCGAATATAACTGATGCGATGAGCGCCTGCTATCCTGAGGGAAACTTCAGAGGGAACCAGCTACTAGATGGTTCGATTGGTCTTTCGCCCCTATACACCAGTCAAACGATCGATTTGCACGTCAGAATCGTTACGGACCTCCACCGGAGTTTCCTCCGGCTTCGTCCTGCTCATGTATAGTTCACCATCTTTCGGGTCCTAGCGCATACGCTCTACCTCCGCCCCATGGCAAGCCATCGGGACGGGGCTATGGTGCAGGCGGCGGGCTGAGCCGCCACCCTCCCATATCAGCCGATCGAGAGTCAGCCTTCACTTTCATTGCGCCTCTAGGTTTCAGCACCCATTGACTTGCGCATACGCTAGACTTCTTGGTCCGTGTTTCAAGACGGGTCGGATAGGTGGCTGACTTTCACACCGCATCCGACTAGCCACGACGCGCCTCCCCGCGCCACAAGACACCACCCGCCTGAGGGCCGATGGGCAACGCGACACGGCTCAGCGTGCACGGCCAGCCGACGCAGCGCCAACGGACACCAAATGCACCGGTACCCCCCTTGCGAGGGGCGACGGCTGAATGGTGCCCCGCTTCGTCAACGCTATCCGTTTCCGCTCCAGTGGTTTCACGTACTCTTGAACTCTCTCTTCAAAGTTCTTTGCAACTTTCCCTCACGGTACTTGTTTGCTATCGGTCTCGCAGCCATATTTAGCCTTAGATGAAGTTTACCACCCTCTTAAGGCTGCGTTCTCAGGCAACCCGACTCTAAGGAACCGGCGACCGCCACGCCCGCCACCCGTACAGGATTTGCACCCTCTTCGATCTGTGGCCCCGCTCAAAGGGACTTCGGGTGGTGGAACGCGTCGGAAACCGACACCTATACGTCACATTTCCCAGCGACCATGGGCCGAGGGATTCGACGCTGGGCTTTTCCCCTTTCACTCGCCGTTACTGGGGGAATCTTCGTTAATTCCTTTTCCTCCGCTTAGTAATATGCTTAAGTTCAGCGGGTAATCACGACTGATCTGAGGTCTCTATTCGTTGGCACTTGGCGCGACGCCCGCGCTCGAACGTGATGATGAATATGAGAATATTATGCATCGCTCGAATCGGGCTAGCCGCAGTAAGCGTCAATGGCGATGTGCTACTGCTGCTGCTGCAACACATCATCGTTCGCCACGAGTCGAGCCAGCCACCAATGCAGGCGGCCAACACGAGCTCCCAGTAATCGCTGGAGCTCACTGCTCCAGGCAAAGTACATGTTTGCGGCCCTCAGACAGACGTGCCGACGGGAAAACCCGCCGGCGCAATTTGCGTTCGAAATTTCGATGCTCAATGTGTTTGCAATTCGCATCAATTAACGCAGCTGGCTGCGTTCTTCATCGATCTGCGAGCCGAGTGATCCACCACTGAAGATGATCTGTTTCGTTTCGGTTTGAGTTACGGTTGGTTCGATTCGATTCGTTATGAATTGTGTGCGACTGGTGGAGCCGGAGCGTGGCAATCTCATTAAGTCTTCGCTGCTCACGAAGAGCTGCGTCAGCCATCCAGAGGCGACGGATGGGGCAGACGCCAGTCGCGGGTTAGTTTGCCCGGAGAATTGGTGTATGGCTCTCGGCAGACCACATTGAATATTGTGTGTGTGTGTCGTTACAGATCGGTATTGATCCACCGGCAGGTTCACCTACCGGTACCTTTTTACGACTTTTACCCGGGTTCAAACCGTCGCGATCAAGCCAGTTCATCAACCGCAGACACGAGGCCTGTGGCCAATTCCCTGGATTTCTCGAAACGGTTCAGTCCCGGGTAGCGACGGGCGGTGTGTACAAATCGCAGGGACGTATTAAGAGCGAGATGATGACTCACACTTACTAGGAATTCCTCGTTTAAGGGAAATAGTTGCAATTCCCTATCCCGATCACGGAGTCCTTTCAACGGTTTACCAGTGACCCTTCGGCCATGGAACACGTTGCAGACTCAGTGTAGCACGCGTGCAGCCCCGGACATCTAAGGGCATCACAGACCTGTTATTGCGTGATTTCGTGCGGGGCTCTATACCGCCGATTCCTCTAAGAACACCGACCGGCAAAGTTACCGGCGATGTATTAGGTAGGCTCACGTCTCGCTCGTTATCGGAATAAACCAGACAAATCGCTCCACCAACTAAGAACGGCCATGCACCACCAACCACCGAATCAAGAAAGAGCTTTCAGTCTGTCAATCCTTACAGTGTCCGGGCCGGGTGAGTTTTCCCGTGTTGAGTCAAATTAAGCCGCAGGCTCCTGCGGGGCTCGGCCCCGGGGGCCGTCACCGGTCCCCACCACAGCATCGTTACTCGCGAGGTCTTGTCTACACCTCTTTTGCATTTGCATTTGACTCTTGTTGCTGTGGCCAGTCCTACCTGGATCTAAGGATATGGTCTTTCGGAAGTGCTTGGTTTTCCTCAGGTAGTCAGCGGGGTACTCTCTCAGACCCCGGTCCATACTCCAATTGCGCCTGCCTTTCTATCGTCTATGGGTCGCGCGTGTCTAACTAGTTGCGCTGGTAATATAGGTACGAGGACTATCATTGGATGGGAGGTCCTCTAGTGCTCGCAAAATGGCTTAGGAAGCAATAGTACGTGCCGCAAGCCGCCGCGCGGCTTAACTGTTCCGCCAACTTTTCCTCCACCTCCCTCCAATTCCCAGTTGGCGACGAATCGCTTCTCTGGTGTATTCAGGGACTTCTCCACACGCTCCGATCACCAGCGGTATGAAATCGACTTTTGCGTGGTATCGTTCAGCGAGTTCCAAACAAATGTTCGGACCACCTTTAAGTGGGGCTGTGCTCTCGTTATCAGCCTTCTCGCCGTTCACAGTGTACCTCCACGTTTTTATGTTTTTAGCCAATTCCATATTATCGGGCCAAGCTACAGCGATTTCGATCACAACAATTCGATCATACCAGGTGGTGGGCCCACCGGTACCATCTTTGCTGCGGATGAACAGAACGATATCAGGGCGCGTATGATAGATGTTATCACGCGCCGGGATCTTTACGTCCCACCACAGGACGCCAGTTTTCCCTCTGCTCTCAGGCGGTGGGCACTTTGAGTAATGTACTGTTTCAACTCCGTACTTTTTGGCAAGGAACTTGTATATGGATCGCGCGACTGCGTCGTGTCGTCGCATGTAGGTAGTGAATGAAGATCTCTCGCACTGGTTCGAGATGTGCTCTGCGGTCTCGAGAGCTCCGCAAGGGCACTTTCTCCCCAGCCGCGAGGAGACTTCAATGATCCGTTCCGATTGCACCGCTGTGACCACCCGTGTCACGTTTGGTGCCACCCATCCTTTCTCAAGCCAGAGAGTTTTCCCGGTATCAGTTCTCTGGGCACGCCCTTCGACCTGATGCCAGCTCTCCAGCCAGTATCGTTTAAAGTGAGATCGGATTGTTGCCAGTCCGCTGGTTAGGGCGGTTTCCGGTGTCGTGTGCTCCACCCCTCCAATAAATAGTCTCTTGGTGTCAATTTCGAAGGTTATCGCAGGAGTCCACTGCATGGCTCTGTTAAAATCAGAGATGAGCGACCGGCGTTTTTGCCGCTCAGCCTTGCAATGGATCCCGAGGAGTTCGCTGGTGTTCGGGTGTAGTACTAGGTGTACAAATGCCCGGAAGATGCCCCTTTGCAATGCTTCTGCGAAACTCCTGAGGCCGAGTCCTCCGTCTTCTCTGTCGACGTAGATTCTATTCTTGGCGGCTGTCTGATACCACAACTTGGTTTCACCTTCAGTGAGAGATTCCATGGTGATGCGCTCCAGTTTCTTGGTCAGGGCTACGACTTGTTCGAAGCTATTTAGCAGTTGGTTCATCGAGAATACGTACTCCGCCTTCGGGATCAGCTCTTGATTGATCCTCGCAATGATTTGCGCCGAAGTTATGTCTTGGGTATGTACGATTTCCCTCGTCCGTTCGCCAATAGTCTTCTTCAAATCGGATACTGTTGCAAGTCCTGCGGTTTGGCCCCTTTGATAGATACCTAGGTATCGATACCCGTCCTCGCCTTTCAGCTTCGGGATACCCTCTAGAACATCGGGTCCGTCCGCTTCCGGATTAGCGCAGATGACATTGTACGCGCTTTTCCCAGGGTTAATCCACAAACCCATGGCTTGACCGGTATCCTGCACAATCCGCAGGCCTCGCGCCAGTTCTGCTTCGCTGTGGGCGAATAACTTCAGATCATCAATGTAGTACAGGTGGTTGAAGGTGGATTGCTGTTGCCCCACGGTCCGTGTTTCAGTGGTATACCCACCAGTCATCTTATTTAGATGGTAGCTGATGGGGGCAACCGCAATGCAAAACAGTAACGGTGATAGTGAGTCCCCTTGCAGGATGCCACTCCTGATCCGGATCTTCCCTATCTCGTGTCCTCCCAGGATGATTTTCACCTCCCATGCCTTGATTAGGTTTCGAAGCAGGGCTTTCGCTCCGCTACGTATTGGAAACCTATCTACTAGTTCAAGTAGATATGCGTGGCTGATTGAATCAAATGCTTTTGCGAAATCAAGCCAAGCCTCCCACAGCTCCGAGTGGGGGCCCCTCTTTCGGAGTTTCGCGTCCAGAAGGACGCTCCGATCCGTTAGATGGCTTTCGAGGCAACCGGAGACACCTTTCCGGATTGCTTTTTGCGTAATAGGTAGCAATTTCTGATTCATTTCGGCAATGGGGGCGATCATCGCTGTTAGTACACCCGTGATCACCTTGTATTGCGTGTTCAAGAGACAAATAGGCCGGTACTGGTCAGGCTTCGGATCATCGCATTTCGGAAGCAGCAATGTCCTGCCTTCAGTGAGCCACCTGGGCAGAGACGGGTTATGCGCATCGAGCGTGCGATTGATTAGCGTGAAGATCGCCAATCTCGCCGTTGGTAGCTTTTGCCACCAGATCGCTCGAATTCCGTCCGGCCCGGGCGCTTTCCGACCTTTCATCTTCTTTACTACACTTTCACCCAACCTCCTCACTTCATCTCTATCTTCAGTTACTTCGTCCCCAGCGAGACTTTCGTCCAGGTCCTTCAGCCATTGGGTGATGATGTTCGTTTTGGTGAACTTGCGCTCACGTCCGAATATTTGTTCCCATGTGGCGAGGACTTGGGAATGGTCAATGTTCCCTGTTGTGGTGTGAAGCTGTTTTCGGGTCCCAGCAACCCTCGAGCGGATTCTCTGTCGATCGCTTTCATCCCTTTTCAGCGCGAACGACTTGTTCTCCTTGCGGAGTTTAACGTCGAGAATGCTCGCTTCAAGGTGACGGACGGTCCTGATTCCCGCTTTACGGTTCTTTCGGATCGCCGCAATCACCTTCCATGGGGGGCTGTTTCCCTTGGCACCACGTCGCCAGTATAGTTCAGTTCGCAAGGTCTCTAGTTTCCGATCCAGATCATCAGTGTCACACTTTATCTTTTGAGCCGCTACACGTTTAACGCTCTGTTTCTCTCCAATGAGAGTAGTAATAGTTTTCGCTACCGCATACACGGCCGCGTTAACTACTGTGTGTGTCCATCTGTGATCCGGCAGCGTTCTCCTCAGCGTCTGGAGCCAGGCGTCGCCCTCGTCCGTTAGCTTCCTCGGGATGTCGCTGGTTTGAGCGATTGGTTTCCTTTTGCTTAGGTCCATATCCCTCACACTTCGGTACAGTTTCCATGCAAGTTCTGAGTCAAACTGGATGTCATCGTTAGAATCTTCACTTTCAGTCTCACCTCGCTCCAGTTCTGCTGATTGCTTGGTACCCTCCTCTGGGTCCTCGCGTTCTCTTACCTCGCTCTCGTTTGGCTGCGGGTCATAGCTGCGGTTCATCGCGTTCTCCTTAGCTTTCACTCGAGCCTCTTTTCTCTGGTTGGCGTCACGGTTCTTCACTTCGGTAACTCGCTTTTTGATTGCAGGCAGGGTTCGCTTTGGCAGCGCCCTCTGCAGTACGTCCCACCTTAGGAATGGTGTGTTACCTTGTGAATATTCGCTTAGCTCAGCCCGCAGCACATCCTCTTCATCCTTTTGCCATATTCTAGGCGCTTTTCGGTTGCCTGCCATCGGTGTTATTTGGCTAGCAACCTTGCGAGTACGTTCCCGTGGTGGCCGGGCAGATGCTCCAGCCACATCCGGGTCGTTATTCCTCGCAATCCCTACTGGTTCGTTCATTAGCCGGGAGACCGACCTTCCACCGCTTAGCAAGCCCTCTACTGGTGCGATGTTGATTTTGCACTTTCGAGAGCCAGTACCCGGATCGTGCCACTTGGAGGCGGGTGGAAGGGATCTCTGCAACTTGGCGTCAATATCTATTGCAGAAATATTTTCCAGCATTAGGGGCACAGTGGTTCCTGATGGTTCACTGGCAATAGGTCTCACGACCCCGCAGGCTCCACTCCTGGTGGTGCGATTCCGTCAATTCCTTTAAGTTTCAGCTTTGCAACCATACTACCCCCGGAACCGGAAGTCTTTCGTTTCCGGGAAGCTCCCCGGCGAGGCAATAATACCACCGCCGGATCGCTAGATGGTATCGTTTACGGTCAGAACTACGGCGGTATCTAATCGCCTTCGAACCTCTGACTTTCGTTCTTGATTAACGAAGACATTCTTGGCAAATGCTTTCGCTGTAGGTCGTCTCGCTACGGTCCATGAATTTCACCTCTCGCGTAGCGATACGTATGCCCCCGTTGGTCCCTCTTAATCATTAATCCAATTCCGAAACCAACAGTAAGGAACCGAAGTCCTTTTCCATTATTCCATGCAAAAACATTCAAGCGAAACGCCTGTTTTGAGCACTCTGATTTCTTCAGAGTAACTCTCGCCGACGTGAGCCGACGAAATTAACCCTGGAGCACGGTACCACACAGAGGTGGACCGGCCCCGCGGGCTCAGATCCAACTACGAGCTTTTTAACCGCAGCAATGATGTCATACATTTTGAGAGCTGGAATTACCGCGGCTGCTGGCACCAGACTTGCCCTCTCATTGATCCTCGTTAAAGGGTTTGAATTTTACCCATTTCGATGACTGCTCCCATAGGAAGCAGTCTCGTTAGTTGTTGTCACTACCTCCTCGCATTGAGAGTGGGTAATTTGCGCGCCTGCTGCCTTCCTTAGATGTGGTTGCCGTTTCTCAGGCATCCTCTCCGGAGTCAAACCCTGATCCTCCGTTACCCGTTATCACCATGGTAGCCAACTAAACTACCATCAAAGTTGATAGGGCAGTTGATTGCGTGAATTGCCGCCGCTTGCGCATGCGGTCTGCGAGTTATTCAGAATCATCACCGAAACAACCGTTGCCGGTGGTTGGTGAATCTAATAAATGGTGCCGAAGCACTGCACTGTATTAGCTCCAGAATTACTAGAAGTATCCATTGAGAAGGATTTCACGCGAATTTCAACTGTTGTAATGAGCCGTTCACAGTACCACCGAGCGAGGGTGGGAACTTAGATATGCATGGCTTAATCTTTAACATAAACATATCGACACTGGTAGGATCAACCAGATATCTATTCGCGACCAACAATAGCGCCTGGGGGCACTAGGGCTGGGGCGAGGGTCCGCTGGTTCACTATCACGCCACACTGCCCCCCGGTGGCGGGGGGCAGACGTTCATAGCCACAGCACCGAATCGCTCACGAGCGACACCTCGTCTCATGTGTGTACACACACACGCAGTATTGTTGGAGCCATGGCGGAACAGCCCACAACGGGCGCTCACATCTCCTCAACATTCCCCGCCGAATACGTAGTGCCAACGCCAGCGGAGCCCTGCTGCTGCTGTTACACAACACAAGGCTCAACACCGCATTTGCTCTACTCTTCGACGAAGAAATCGGGCGATGCACGACACAGGCGATGCATAGTTGGCACCCCGCCATGAATGGATGCGTGGCGGTGGGCTAGTGGTGGCTGGGCGCTATTGCGGGGATGGATGGGCTAGTGGTGGCTGGGCGCTATTGCGGGGATGGATGGGCTAGTGGTGGCTGGGCGCTATTGGGGAGACCGTGTGCGGTGGCACACATTCGTGGGCAGGGGGCGGGCGCTGGGGGGGGGGCACTATTCGATGGGCTAGTGGTGGCTGCATTGCGGGGATGGGTGGGCTAGTGGTGGCTGGGCGCTATTGGGGGAGGCCGTGTTGCGGTGGCACACACTATTCGATGGGCTAGTGGTGGCTGGGCGCTATTGCGGGGATGGGTGGGCTAGTGGTGGCTGGGCGCTATTGGGGGAGACCGTGTTGCGGTGGCACACACTATTCGATGGGCTAGTGGTGGCTGGGCGCTATTCGAGGGGGGCCGAGCGGGCTAGTGGTGAGCCATGCTATCGCGAGAGAGGCCGGGTCGCGGTGGCACACGCTATTTGCCCGTGCACATAGCGCGCCACGCAGTATGAGCGAGCCCCGAATAGATATCTGGTTGATCCTACCAGTGTCGATATGTTTATATTAAAGATTAAGCCATGCATATCTAAGTTCCGAGCTCGACTAGGCGCTGACTTCAAAAGACCGTATCTCCGTTGTTTCTTGGTATTTTTGGCTGAAATTTTTTTTGGTGATAGTTTCGGACATGCCGGTTCTTTTCATGATGGTTTAAAAAAACCAAATTTTCAATAATTTGTTGATCGCGTCGTTACAAGCTTCAGTTGCCCAAAGCTGGATTTTGATTTTTGGATGGATTTTTCGACGATGCAAAAAGAACCTCTAGGTGATTGAGTGAGTTCGCGTATTAACTGAATTCACCATTCCGTTGTTTTTGATTTCCTGCGGGGCCCCCCATGTTCCCAATTCGCCTGTGGCCGGCTAGCGGGTCAGCTCACCCACCAGGCGCCCCCCTCGATGCCCGCCCGACTATGCCAATCCCCATTCCCATTCCCGTTTGCCAGTGGCTGGCTAGCGTGTCATCCCCCCTCCAGGGGTGCCTGTGCCCGATGCCCGCTCGCCCGCCCGCTCGCCTATGCCTAAGCCTAAGCCTAAGCCTAAGCCTAAGCCTATGCCTAAGCCTAAGCTAAGACTATGGCGAAGGCAGGCAAAGTCATGGCAAAGCTATGCCTAAGCTAAGCCTAAGCCTATGCCTAAGCTAAGCCTAAGCCTAAACATAAGCCTAAGCCTAAGCTAAGCCTAAGACTAAGCCTAAGCCTAAGCATACTAAGCCTAAGCATCCTAAGCCTAAGCTATGGCTATGGTGAAGGTAGGCAAAGTCATGCCAAAGCTATGCTAAAGCTAAGCCTAAGCCTAAACATAATCCCAAGCCTAAGCCTAAGCTAAGCCTAAGCCTAAGCATACTAAGCCTAAGCATACTAAGCCTAAGCATACTAAGCCTAAGTCTAAGCTATGGCTATGGTGAAGGTAGGCAAAGTCATGCCAAAGCTATGCCTAAGCTAAGCCTAAGCTAAGCCTAAGCCTAAGCCTAAGCCTGCACGTAAGCCCAAGCCTAAGCTAAGCCTAAGCCTAAGCCTATGCCTAAGCCTATGCCTATGCCCTTGCCTCGCTTTGGCATTGGGGCACCTCGCACCGCGGGAGCTCGGGGCGATTGTGCCCCCGGGTCTCGATGGATTGCCCGCTTGCCATGGCGAGGGCACCGCCGCCTAGTCGCTTTGCTGGTCGGCTATATGGCCATGGCTCCCCCGCACCACTATCGCTGGTCGACCGAGAGGGACCCCCGGCCAACGTGAAACACAGCGCCACCACCCTCCACCACCCCCACACATGGCCACACCGCTGGTTGATAGCGGGCCAGGGCAAACGGGAAGCGAGATAGTGCGGCGACCACTCAGAGACGAAGCAAGCAGAGAGTCCGAAAAACCGCCAAAATCGGCTTGCGGCCCTGTCTGTCCATTCTCAAGTAATATAAAAATTATTTGTACGCGAATTCCAAGGCCGCTTTTTGCCGAGGAGTCTCCCACAATCCCTGGCGAGAAGTCAGAGCTATTTTTTAAAAAAATCACCTTGTTGTACCCCCCTGGTTCGAAAATCACCAAAACTCAAAATTTCAAAAAATCATAAAAACCACATCCGCGATTTGACAGCCATGTGAGTTAGCACCCCGGAATCAGCGTTTCAAGCCGGTTCGAATGCGTCCAGCGCGAAATCCCGACGAGCTGATACGAATTTTCGAAAAAATCGACCTGCTCCCCCCTTGCTTGCAAAACGGTGCAAAACGGCAGAATGTGATCACTTCAAAAAATCCTAGCAATTAAACCAGGGCCTCCGGGGCTTCGGAAGAAACGGTTTTCGGTACTATTTTTGGTGCTCTTTCAGCCCCACCTCGAAGTGCGTGATGAATTTCTCGAATTTTTTTTGGTAAATTCCGAAAAAATCCATGTGGTCCCCCCTTTAGTCGTAAACCATCAAAAATAAAAGTTTCAAAAAATCCTAGCAATTAAACCAGGGCCTCCGGGGCTTCGGACGAAACGGTTTCCGGTACTATTTTTGGTGCTCTTTCAGGCCCCACCTCGAAGTGCGCGATGAATTTCGCACGGTCGATTTCTTGGGAATTCGGGCAGAAAGGCCATGTGGTCCCCCTGACGAGGGCATGCCAAGTAGAACTTTCAAAAAATCCTAGCAATTAAACCAGGGCCTCCGGGGCTTCGGAAGAAACGGTGTCCGGTACTATTTTTGGTGCTCTTTCAGGTGCAGACATCAACGCGATTTCGCACGGTTGGATTCTCGCGGAATCGGGCCTGGAAGGCCTGGTCGACGAGGGGTGCCTAGTTGCAACATTCAAAAAATCCTAGCAATTAATCCTTGCAGACATTCGCGCTGGATCCATTCGGTAGCATTTTTCAAGGGCTTTCGAATGGTGTATGGGGACGATCATCGCGATTGCAAATTCCTATGCCCCCGGAATTAGCGCGTTTCAAGCCGATTTGTCTGGTTGATCCCGAGGGGGTCGATATGTTTGCAAAATTATTAGTGGGCGGCGGCTGGGCGATATTCGGAAGGGGAGGGGGGAGACCGTGGCCATTTGTCAAAACCATGAAAAATCAAAGCTTCAACAAATCACACAGCATTCACCCCAGGTGGCCTCCTAGGTGTCGCCCCAAACGATGAAGCCGAAGCGACGAAGCGGCAGCATTCCCGTTCAGCCTAAGCCTAAGTCACACCGGGCCACAGCCAAAAGATATCTGGTTGATCCAGAGGGGGGTCGATATGTTTGCAAAATTATGTGGTGGTGG